CTGGAGTTCGAGGTATGGTATTATACCTTGAGATCAGTTTAATAAAAAGTAATCACCGACAATTATAATTCATGAAAATACATATAATATGTGTGAACGCAAACATATATTATACGCCGAACATACACTAGCATTTGCTATGGTGAAGACTGGCTTATTACTCAAGAATAGTAAACTCTTAATAATCTGGCCAATATATGTAGTTCGACCAATTAGAAACGTTTGTATTATTTTTATATAATTAATTTTAGAGTTTGGGTGTATATATAATTATATATGTATATAAAGAAATTGCTGATACACATAGGAAAATTGCTGATTTTATCTAACAAAAAAATTGTAAGGCTTTTAATATTAGTTACTTATCATAGTTGAATGCCTAATTCAATTTTTTTTTCGTCGTGAAAGTGTTGAATTTTAAACTAAAGATTAGACTATAAGGGCATCTATTGCATATGAAATTTTGGATGGAGAAATGGCTTTGAGCAAAAGAAAACAATTATTGATGTGGAATCCAGAAAATTTAAATTAAATAAGTGTAAAGCGAACATTCAGTCAGTGTCATTCCAATATGGGAATCTTCACATTTATAAAAGCAGCCACTAGCCCACCAAATACCATCCACACAAATAAAAGAAAAGTTTCCTATGCCCAACATCATTCATATCATTTTCCATCAATCCTAAATCATTAATCGTAAACTCACCCTATCAAAATGATGAGGAATTTTATAGTATTGGTGCTATGGGTTTTTGTCTTTATGGTACAGCTTGAAATTGTACCTTTAAGTTATGGTACAACTTCAAATTGTACCTATACTTTTTGTACAGATTCTTTTATGGTACAATTTGAACTTGTACCTTTATGTGATGGTACAACTTCAAGTTGTAAAGTTGTACCAATACAAATTCCTTTATGGTACAACCTAAACTTATACATTTAATGTTATGGTACAACTTCAAATTGTACATTAAAGCACCAATACTATATAGCATAGAAGAAGTGCTCCAAAATGATTTGTATAAAGCCTTTTCACCTTCTATCACATTGAGTAGTATTAATCTTTTATCACTTTCTGAACACAACTTGCAGCATCGATCGATGCATTGAATAAAAATTATAAACTAGTACTTTTATAATTCCAAGCATACAATTTAAATAGCAGAAAACCAAGATAAATAAAAGGGTTAATTGCATGATTGGTCACTGAGATTACAAAAAACGTTCAAGTTTGGTCACTCGAAATATTTAAATCCATTCGTGGTACTTCAGTTTACTAAAACCGTTCACGTTTGGTCACTCTCCGTCCAACTCCGTTAACTTTTGCTTACGTGGCAGTCAACTCTAAAAGTTGAACGTTAAATGTGTGATGTGGCAATTATAAAAAAAATTAATTTTTAAAAATTTCCACCTAATTTCTAACTATTATAAAAATAAAAATAAAATTATAAATTATTAAAATTAAGAACAAATGGGGAATACTCTCTCCTGTTTTCCACCTCCGCATTCTTGGCCACAAACGGCGGTGGTTGCTGCTGTTTCCGGTCAGACAAACCCTCTGAAGCCGAGGCCAACGCCGCAAAACCAGAAGTTCAAAACCCTACCAGGCCGCCTCCGCTCAGATTAACCCTTCTAATTGCTAAACGAACTGTCCCCTGTTTTTGACAGGTGAGGCTTTCTCGTTGTTCGTCTCCTCCAAAAAATTTCCTTGTCGGCATTTACTCTTCTTCTTCGACGTAGTGATCTCAGCTTTATATCAGCCAATCAACTCCCCCGAAATCAATCCTTCATTCCCTCCCTCCATTTATCCCCGGTCGCTGATTCGACTCTTCTTCCCCTGTTTCCCCCGATTCGGGATCTCGTTCTCGGATCCCACCCAAATTACTTGCCCGCTGCACATTTCTCCATGAATCCCGTCCTTGGAGATCGATTGGGGAATTTGCGCCGGCGAGCTAGGAAGAAGGTGGAACGCTTCTTTCTCTGGTCTCCATCCTCGATCCCATCCCCAGAATCGCAACCCTATCCCCAGAAATCCCAAGCCAACATCAATCGTCGTTCCGAAAAAAATCGAACGCTTCTTCTTCCTCTGGTCTCTATCTCAACGACGGCTCCCGATTCTTGGATGCAGAAGTATGGTCTCGTCGGCGACTCCCGATTCAAGGGAAGACCAACACTGAGAAGAGACGGTAGATCCAGAACTCAATTTTTGGGCTCTCTCTTCGCGAACCCAGATTCGCCAGATCTCTACTGAAACTCCGGCTTCTCGCGAACAAACCACGGCAAGAAAGGAAGAAGATTTTGTGGAGGTGAATGTTGACGGCGATAGTGGACATAGTCGGATGGGGAAGGTTGTGAGTCGTATTGGTCGGAGGGGAAGGTTGGGTGTTGTTGGCGACAGCGGCAGGTGTATAGGGAGAAAAAACACTCGTACGCCGCTGCAGAAAATGAATTAGGGATTTACCCCAGTATGAGATAAAGTATGAGATAAGTTGTGAGGTGGAATTGTTAAATAATTAAAAAATATTATTTTTTAATTTTTAATTGCCATGTCATTTATTTAACGGTCAACTATTAAAGTTGACTGCCACGTAGGACAAGGTTAACGGAGTTGGACGGAGAGTGACTAATGATGAAACGAAAATGTAAAGTTAGTGACCACGAATAGATTTAAATATTTCGAGTTACCAAACTTGTACGTTTTTTGTATTCTCAGTGACCAACTATGCAATTAACCCATAAATAAAATCAATGTACAAATACAGCCAGGCTTTAGCACTTGGATAGTTATAATGGATTCCTATATCACAAATGCACGGAATAGAAATTTAAAAGTTTATAGGTATGCCTCTCAATTGTACATTTTTATTAAACATATCCTTCAACTATTTTGCATATAAAAATTACCTCTATACTTTAGTAAAAAAATCAAACATGTCATTCTATTAAAATTTGCATTAAAAAACTGTCAACCACAATCAAACCATTGTTCGGAAGACACTCAACAAAATGGAGGAATACTAGTTTTACCCCCTCCATTTGGTGGCTAGTAGTGAATAAATTGTCATTTTGATTGGATAATGAATATGCATCTTCAGCAACAAAGATAACTTTCTTCAACTATTAGACTTTCATGCTCTTGGTAAAAAAGATGTGCAAAGTGTGATTGGAAAGAATGCTCCAAGAAACCTCCAATTTATCTCTCCAGAGATGCAAAAAAGAATGCTCATGCCATGTCATGTGAAACAATTGGGAAAATTATTATAGATAATGAAAGTGAATTTTTCATCTTTGGGTTATATCAAGTACAAATTTCAAAAGCAAATATGTTATTGGTTCATGAATGCTTGTCTAGTAGGATATATTGAAAGAGATTTGTTGAGTACTGTGGACCTAGAATGTATTTACAATTTTTCAGAATATGAAAACACGTCGTAGTATTTTGTAGTAACTTGTACTAGTCAGATATTTTATTATTTAAGGTTTTTAATATAATTTTTGGAAGAGGACACTCCTAGATAAAATTCATGTGTCGGCTACTGTATTGTCTATACAGAAAAAGATCAAAAAATGTATTAAAGTAAAATTATTAGATGTATTTTGGACATGTTTATTGCTCAAAGCACGATTTGATCATGTTTGATGGGTTTTTTGGAAATTTTAATAGTAGGACATATTTGATAATTTTTTCAAAGTACTTGGGAGTGTTTAAGGAAAAAATATATTTAATAAAAATGCATAGTAAATGAAATATTATACTTAAATCAAAGTTAAACTACTACTCTTATCATTATAACTCATACAATAAGATGCAATTTAAATGACATAACATTGAGATAAACAACATTGACTTCACAAATACTCCCAACAACCCGCAATCGGACTCCGACACGAATGGACCAAATAAAAATTTAAACTTGTGATTTACAATATTATTACACACGATAACATAAAATTATAATAGGATACAACTTAGATAAATAACATCTTGTACAAATACATCCAACCAACTCACTCTTAATAGTGGTGGTGAATACAATTAGTTAAGATGCATCAAGCAAATCCTGAATCAATAGACATTAAAATCTATTAGTGATAGAGTTTGTTCAACCATGATCTTTAAAAACTTAACCCAAAAATTATAGTTCATTCGGTAAACATAAGTTTGAAAAATGAAAATAAATAAGGTTCACAAGTTGAATCGCCTGGGGTGGTTTTAAGTTAAAATGTTGCAATTATCCGAAAGAAAGACATAAAGTAACACACAATTCGGCACAATAATCCTTATTCATTGATTTTGTAAAATTATTAGGCTCAGATTGAGCAGTTCAATTGAGGAGGGGCTAAGACTTTAACGACAACTCTATTTTCAATATTTGTTAAGAATTTTATAAGTAATTTTACATATATTTCAGAAGTTGGAGGCTATAACTCCTTCTAGTTTCAACATACTTCCACCACCTCAAAGCAACGTGAGAATTTTTTTCTTACTTTTTTAATCGGTTTATATTTTGTTTGGTTTAACTCGAATTTTAGATTTTTTACACTCATGAGACGAGTTTGTGATCTACCAAATTATATATATTTTAAATATATTTCAAGAATTTTTTTCATACCACTATGTCACGAACTGGTGTCACTATGAATCACTTCTGTTTTTAACTCAAATTTGAAAATTTTTGTAAAGAAGGAACAAGTTTACCATGATTTATTATCATATAATGGGAAAATTTTCAAAAACAAATATATCACTTTTTACCACCATCATAGTGCAGAGCAAATGTTAAAGTGCTAGTGCTAACACCTAATTTGATAGTGTGATGTTAACAATAGCTCCAGCTAACATGAACATTTAGTTTTGATAAATTGTTTTATTTCTAATGGTTTGATCACAATTAACGCAAATTTGTAAATGAATGGATACATTTGTCATTTTCAAAAAAAAATTATAGAGGAAACACGCGTGTGACGTTGCTAATTTATTTTAGATATTATCATTATCAATAATATCATGAAGGATACCATAAACACACATCCAAAAACCATTATTATTCTAACCGTCTCCACTTTCGTTCACCTAATCACCTTTCCTCTGAAAGTTTTTCGACCACTGCATGCAGAGCCGTGGTGGCACAGGGCACTAGCAGAGGCCAAGTGGACAAAATTTTGACTGAGCAACCAAACACTTTTTGCACGCTTTACCCAAAAGCCTCACGGAAAGTTTTTGTTTTGTAATTGTTCATGTTGGTTTCTGACTCACTAGGGAATAGTTTGGCGCTGTCTTTGGATTTTCTCTCCTGGGGCGCCCTTCCGCGAAATCCCCCAAACTGCGATTTCTTCCATTCAAGTCCATTTCACAGTGATTAAATCAACTGGATTTCTCCTTGTAATCATTTTCCAGTCTAGCCTGTTTGGGTCCGTAAGATTTTGTTTTTTTTTTCTCTCGCTCTGGTTTGGTTTTCCTGTTCTCAACCTCTCCTGCATGCAAATTCTAGGCAACAGGGTTTCTGGGTTTCTTTGTCAGTGCTGAATTCTGTGTTATTCTTGATGCATGCAGGTTCTAAGCAACTGGGCAGGCACTTGATTCGATCGAATTCCCAGAAATCGTTGATCGTTTTGGGGGCTAGATACAGTTGATTAGAAGGCTTCAGAGGTTTTGAACCTTCGACCCTTTCCTCTTCCTGTTTTCTGCCTTTTGTTTTTATAGTGCCTCTCTTGCCGTGAATAATAGTAAACTCGGTTGAATCTCCATAAGACCAGTTCTCATTGGAGGGAATCTAGGAAACCAATAGTCTGTTTGTGGAAGAATAAGTAACCTCAGAATTAGGCATCTACATGCTTTAATTTGCTCTTTGATTCCTTTTCTTCTTTCTTTGCCCTTTCTTTTGCCCGAGATTTCACATGTTGGAGATCGTCTCTTCCTTCCCTATTTTTCTCTTTGATGTGATCGACATTGTGTTTGCTTCTTGGCTTGATTTGGGGTTTCGTTGAGTAACAAACAAAATCATTTCTCAGTCGTTTTGTCTGAAAATGGTAGCAGAAAAACAGCACTGTAAGAGATTTTGGTTTCGTTTCCTCTCCTGAAAAGTTGTGGTACATGAATTGCTTCCTGATTCCTTTCTTTATCAATTCAGTTTTCTCCTGTCTGGACATACCTCCACCAAACATGGTAACAAGAACAGTTGATCTCCGTTCGGATACTGTCACCAAGCCTTGCGAGGCGATGAGAGCTGCAATGGCAAATGCTGAGGTTGATGACAATGTTCTAGGGAACGACCCAAGCGCCTTGAGGTTGGAGACCGAGATGGCGAGAATTACGGGCAAGGAAGCCGCGTTGTTTGTTCCATCCGGGACGATGGGCAACCTCATTAGTGTGCTTGTGCATTGCGATGTCAGGGGCAGTGAAGTAATTCTAGGAGACAATTCCCACATCCACATTTACGAGAATGGCGGTATCGCAACGATTGGAGGTGTCCATCCAAGGACAGTAAAGAACAATGAGGATGGAACTATGGATATAGATGTGATTGAGGCCAAGATAAGAGACCCGAGAGGGCAGCTTGTTTATCCAACTACCAGGCTCATCTGTTTGGAGAATTCACATGCCAAGTAAGTTTTTTGTTGTTGTACATTTTTATTACTGTTCCATAAATTGGATGAATGGTTTTCGATGTTAATTTGGGATTTATGACTTTCAGCACTGGCGGGAGATGCCTATCTGTGGAGTACACAGACCAAGTAGGAGAATTGGCAAAGAAGCATGGGCTGAAGCTTCACATTGACGGGGCTCGCATTTTTAATGCATCAGTTGTAAGTATAATGCTGGCTACTTGGTTTGCTTGATTTATCAACACATTTGGTGGATGGTAGAATTTAGGAAAGGAGATTGCAGCAAATGCTATTTTGTTTCAAGCTCATTACTGATGTTTCAAGAATCAACGTATGGCACCAACTTGACCAGACTTACTGACTGTTTGTTCTCATAAATTGGTATGGATTGCTTTTCACTACGTATTTTATATATGATCAATTTGAAGGCTCTGGGAGTTCCTGTTCATAGGCTTGTACAAGCAGCAGACTCAGTTTCGGTATGATCAACAACAACAAAAATACATTTGTTTAATCTACTGTTGATCAGAACTCTGATGGCTGATATGTTGCTTCTGTGCATTGAACCAGATTTGCTTATCAAAGGGTTTGGGAGCACCGGTTGGATCTGTTATTGTAGGTTCAGAAAGTTTCATTTCAAAGGTACCCTGCCCGCATCACACAGAGTGGGGAACCTCAAAGCTTTGAGTATAGTCATTGAAACATGACATAAAGTGTCATGTTGTTTTCAGGCTAAGATTCTCAGGAAAGCTCTAGGTGGCGGGATGAGACAGGTCGGCATCCTTTGCTCTGCTGCATTATTTGCAGTTCAAAACAATGTTGCAAAGCTAGAGAATGATCACAAGAATGCGAAGACACTAGCTGGTGCATACTTCAAATTGATCTTCGTACTAAAAATATTTTCAGGCCCTCCTTGTCTCTTGGAATATTATGAACTTATTTGAGGATTTTTCTTCCTTTGTTTTCATTCCTCAGTTGGGCTTAATGAAATCAACGGACTGAAAGTGAATGTCTCCACTGTAGAAACAAACATCGTGAGTGGCCTTTCTCTGCCCTTCATTTAGATCCTAGTAAGTTGTTTCTAATGTTGAATTTTCTGTGGTTGTAACACATGCCTCCATTATCTGCTGAACAGATATATGTCGATTTAGAGGAGAGCTCCAATCTCACAGCAGAAAAGCTGTACAAGAACTTGCAGCAACATGGCGTGGTCGTGATGTTAGAGGGTCCGTACAGGTCTGGTTTTAATCAAGCTCGGCAGTCTGTGATTCCTAGTTTCTGTCGAATCATCAAACATGTTATAACCTTTTCTCATTCCTTGCAGCATAAGGATTGTCATTCACCATCAAATCTCAGAAACTGATGTGCAGTACACGCTCTCGTGCTTTAAGGTGATTAAATTGTTTGCCTGCAAGTCATGTCCTTCTTTGTCCGTTAGAACACAAGGATTCATGATTTGATTGTTGGAGCATGGTTTGAATTGTTGTTTGCAGCAAGTTTTAAATGGCGCCAACGTGCACAGCGAAAACGGTAACTAGAGGTGGTGGAGGAAGAAGAAGAAGATGAAGAAATTGGCCTCCTCCCATTTCCCCATTATCTGTCTTGTCATCCCATCTAAGTCCACCGGGGAAAATGTCGACCATACTGGGAAAAGAAATTGCATTTTACTTTGCTATGACGGTGACCTTTTAGCCTCTCCATTGGACATGTGTGGGAGAGGTTGTGTTGTGTTATGTTTTCGTTCAACTGTTGTAGACTTGTAGAGCTGTTTCCTCTTTGGTCCTGAAAACACAGGGATAGCCTGATTCAATTCACCGCCCCAACATCTGCCGTTTTGCAGGAACGATCAATCCTTAACTAGATCATGATAGTTTGAATTAATTGCTCACATAAAAGCGTTCTAGCATGTCTCATATAGCCTGTGAAAAACAAGTAACTTGACATTATGTGCCATACATGATCCGCATCGATTCAGCTATAATGAGTCTCCCACTTTTGATGTTGATCTTGAGCATCTTTATGATTTCATCACCATCGGAATTGAAGATGGAAGGTTGTAGACAGGGGTTACGTAGAACCGTTTTGGTGATGATTTGGAAGGATAAAATCGTAAGATAGTGTAAGTACTTAAACTTTAAAACGCGATTTTGACTTCATTGAACAGTGCTATCGATTTTAACATGTCAAGTGGTCAGAATTAAGCACTTTTTTCACGCTACTACCGCTCCCAGTACTTGGCTTTTATGGAGCATTCACTCCGACCAAGAAACTTGCTATATATTCCTCGGGACCGGTTATTGTAACAACACCCATTGTGTTGTTATTGTAACAACACTAGTCTCCAACCAATAGGAAGCTAGGATTGTGATGACTTTTTATTAGATGAGTTGACCTAGTGTAAAATCAAAGCAGGGGTATAATTGTCATTATGAAAAATCTATTTAAATAAAAAAAATAAAAAAATAAAAAAAAATAAAAAATATTTTTTTTATTTTCTGCCCAAAAATTTGGACGTCGGAATTCTGCCATCGGTCGCCGGAAAATGGTCGCCGGTCACCGGAATATGCTTTTTTGTCGCCGGAATATGCTATTTTGTGGCCGGAATATGCTTACCGGAGTCAGAATATGCTTACCGGCGTCGGAATATGCTTACCGGCGTCGGAATCTAGTCACCGGGGCCGGAATATACTTATCGGCGTCGGAATCTGCTCACTGACGGTCACCGGAATTCGGTCAACGGTCTTCGTTGACCGGGTCAACGGTCAACGAAGACCGGATATATGGTCTACATTGTGAGATTTATGGTTTGGTTTCTCATATTTTCGTATGCCTTTTGTGGTTTGCTTTATCGTGTTTGTGGTTTGCATTGAGAAGTTTCTGGTTTGCTTTATCGTGTTTCTGGTTTGCATTGAGAAGTTTCTGGTTTGCTTTCAAAAACTTTGTGGTTTGCATTGTGAGGGTTCTGGTTTGTTTTAATATATTTGTGGGTTGCATTAGGACGTTTCCGGTTTGCTTTTTTGTGGTTTGATTTACTGTGTTTGTGGTTTGCATTAGGAGGTTTCTGGTGTGCTTTCGCAAATGTTGTGGTTTGCTTTGTGAGGTTTGTGGTTTGTTTTAGGAGATTTGTGGTCTGCATTAGGAGGATTCTGGTTTGCTTTATTGTGTTTCTTGTGTGTTTTCGAATTTTTTGTGGTTTGCTTTGCGAGGTTTCTGGTGTGCTTTCGAAAATTTTGTGGTTTGCTTTGTGAGGTTTCTGGTTTGTTTTAATAGATTTTTGGTCTGCATTAGGACGTTTCTGGTTTGCATTAAGAAGTTTCTGGTGTGCTTTCGAAACTTTTGTGGTTTGCTTTGCGAGGTTTTTGGTTTGTTTTAATATATTTATGGTCTGCATTAAGACGTTTTTTGTTTGCTTTACCGTGTTTGTGGTTTGCATTAGGGGGTTTCTGGTGTGCTTTTCAAAATATTTATGGTTTGCTTTGTAAGGTTTCTGATATGTTTTAGCAAATTTGTGGTTTGCATTAGAAGGTTTCCGGTATATTTTCTTGACACACCCTGCACGAAACAAACCAGACCAAAAGAGAAAGAACATCAGGTTCTCCTAGCACCGAAATGCAAACTCCCATTGTTCCACCCCCATCACTTGTGGACATACATGATAACCAAAAATGCTAAACAGAAAAGTAGTTGCATGACAAAATCAGGCATATATTTGAGGAATGCAAGTGAATTTCAGCAAGCGATAGCACAACTCTACATGCCTTCCCGCCCAAGATGTAGCCTACAACATAATGAAACTTTCACAAACTTAATAAACTAACTTGATCCACCGCCAAAACAACCGCATTCAGACTTCCGTATCCGACGAACTCATCTCGATTATCGAGGAAGCCAATCAGTTGGATCATCGGCAGAGAATCATGAGGGAATTGGTTACTCCTCTTCCTCCTACACTACTATTCTACCTCTCTAACTAAATTAAAGGGAATGGTCTGGTCCTAAAGGCTAATTAAAGCAGCAGGACAGGCAAGGCAACGACTACACACCATATATACAGAGAGAGCGCTTCAAACCGACCAAATAAGAAAGAAAACAGCAGAACAGAAGAGAACAGAAGAGAAGAGAACTAGAGAGAAGATCGAAATGGCATAATTGAGGGAGGAGACAAGAACCCAAGTCGGGCGCAAAGCCAAAATGCCTCTCTTCACTCTTTTTTGACCGCACCGGCCGCTTTCAATTTCCCCGTCTTCCCTCTTCTCCATCTCCAGCCACAAGATTGATGACTCCGCTATCAATCAAAAGATTTTTCTCTTTAGGATTCCTCCAACAAAAAAGAACTAATGCATCTCCAGCTTCTGCTCCATCGGATCTCTTATCGGATCCGCTACTTCCACGCCGCCGCAACCGCTCCCCTCTCGGAGACTTCCGTATCCGACGAACTCATCTCGATTATCGAGGAAGCCAATCCGTTGGAGCCGGACGCCATGGTCCCTTTCCTCTCCCCCGCCGCCGTCGCTTCCGTCATCCAACAGACGCCCATTCCGCAGCTGGCGCCGGCGTCGGAAGAAAGAAGAGACGAGAGGAGGACTGGCAACCCCGGCGGAGGAAGAAAGAAGGAACGGCGGGGGATGGAGGCCTCAATCGTAGCCGCCAGATACATCGCGGTTCTGATCTAGCTGTTTGCCTGAGATTAGAGGAAGGTCGACGCCTCTACCGCCAGAGTCGACAGCAGGGGTGTTCCTGCCGGTGATGGAGGCGAGCGTACCGGAGGAGATGCAGTCGTTGGGGTATGGTATCGGAGGAGATCGAGAGAGACAGGTAGGGATTGAAAATTTTAGTTCTCGATTGTAATTTATTAATTTCTGTTAGTTTTCCCTTTTTACCCCTGATGTTTCTATAACAACACTAGAGGTGTTGTTATTCTATCCGGACCCATATTCCTCAAGGTTAGAGTTAGAGATTACTGAACTACATTGACATTACATAGTATAAGGAGTAAGTACTTTGAGAATATTGCTATATATTCCTCAAGGTTAGAGTTAGAGATTACTGAACTACATTGACATTACATAGTATAAGGAGTAAGTACTTTGAGAATATGTCGAGTGAAAGCATGAAACTAACGGACTATTGATGGTAGACACCGCACATGGTGGTTAATACGCTGGTTGATATCGACCCACCCGTAAATAATCCGAGCCGCAAGCAGTGGATGATTGATGTGGGTGGATTATAGATTGATAAATCTCCTAACCCCACTTATGTGGGTGGGTGGGTGGTGGGTGGATTGCGTGTCACCCGAATGATCCGAACCCTATTATCACATGAAAAATGTTGTTTCTTATACTATCGAGTATTCTTCATATTTCCAAACCGCACTACACACTAACCATCTATTTACAAAAGCGAAGATATCAGTTATTATAATGCAAATTATTGGTTAATATCCATTAGATATTGGGATGCAAACTATAAACTATTAATTGTATAAAAAATGGCAAAAAATCGTAAATTTTCTCTACGCAATTGATTGATAGAGTAATGAAAATTTTGATGCAAGTATTACATGGACTCATATGAGAAAAAGTGGGAAGTGTCTAAATTTATGTGGTCTTACTAATTTGTTAGGAACTTATTATAAATGTTAGTCGACTTACTTAATGGCTAGTTGGAGAATTGCTTTGCCGGTTAACCCATGACCCAACCGCACTCATCCGTCACCCACCCAACCCGAGCTGCAGAAGAATGTGGCTAGATAGCGGTTCACAATTATACCAACGCGCAAGTAAACGGGTGCGTTAATTTGAGACCAAAACCCAGCCAACCCGTCCATTGCCCACCCCTACTATTCACCACTGAAAGTCATCTCATAAATTAACTTAAATTTTCAACTTGTTGCACGACATGTTCTTTTTAGTCATTCTGTTACATGGATGTTCAATCTAACAGTTATCCTGATTAAGATTGATAGACATAATAATATTTGGAGTTAATTTTATACGTCATAGGGCATTAATCACTTTTGGAAGAATCACAACCACACATCACTGTGGTGGCATTATTCACATGCTTGGTAATTGGTATACTTGCACTTTTGATTAAATGAGATTTTATGATAATTGAAACCAAAGAAAAAGAGAGTTTTGAGGAGGAATTTTACTATGCTTTAAAGCATTGGTGCTTTAGTTTTTGTTTTTATGGTACAGCTTTAGGTTGTACCTATACTCTTTTGTAAAATCCCTTTATGGTACAAACTAAAGTTGTATATTTAAGTTATGGTACAACTTGAAGAGTTGAAGTTGTACCACAACATAAAGATCAAATTCCCTTATGATACAACTCTAACTTGTACCTTTAACGCTGTGGTACAACTTAAAGTTGTACTTTAAAGCACAAATACTTTAAAGCATAGTAGAAATGCTCGAGTTTTGAGTGCTTATCCAAATATTAATTGGTATCTTAACTATTCTATAAATAAAAAATCACCAGCAGTATTGAAGAGAAAAATCCACTGTAGAAATCAATCATTTTTATAGAGAAGATAATTTTTGCCACCATTCATATTTTCCCACAATTCTGCATCTGGGATAGCTAAAAATAAATTAGGAATTCGATCATTAGAGATATAAAAAACCTGCATGTGCAACATTCGAAATAGTTGACTCCTCAACAATTTCGATTTGAAATCCCTCAATTTTATCCTTCCAATCATTACCTTCCTACCCATCAGCAACATCACCACCAACAACATCCGAACTTCCTCCTCGACTCCATCTGACCTTCCTTCTTCGACTGCATTTGTTGCTGTCGTCCACATTTACCCTCAACGACATCTTCTTCCTTTCTTTCGGCGGACCTGGGTTCACGAGAAGCCGGAGTTTCAAGCAGAACTGATGTGTGCTGGGTGGCAGGGAGGAAAGGTTACAAATGGGTTGTGGATGCAATTTGAGAACTCACACGCAACTCAAAACGACTTCGCATGGTCTCTCTTCT